CCCCCACCCCCGCCATGCATTTCATGTGCCCCCCTTAAGGCTGGGCTCTGATGATCGGTCTGCCTCTGCCGTTAGCCTCTCTCCCACGGCATCATGCATGGACACGGGGGCGGACTGGGACAGAAGGGCTTTAAAAGGACAGGGACGGACGGGGACGGATGGGAATGGAGGGCGATTATTATCTAAATAAGGGCGGGGGTTGAGGGGGATGACACAAGGGTACCCAGATCACTGACAGACCGGCAAAATAGGGTAAAGTGCCCATCTCTGCCAACTAGCCTAATACTGCAGTCAGACCGAACGTGAGCTCAGCGCTTCTGTCGGCACGTTTCCAATGTTACATGCAGGGCACGACCATTGCGGTCTGTGGGACAGCTTCCAATAACAGCAGGGACCCAGCAAAGGCTTGGATAATGGCCAGCGAGGAAGTTGGTGTTTCTGGTGAGTTTATTGACCAGATATTGAATTGTCAACCAAGATAGCTTTTCACAGCCAAAGTAATGAATGACACAACCGCTGGTCATCAGATTGACTGAAAGACATACTGCACGATTAAAATAAGGTATTTGACAGACAATGCTTCACAAAGTTTATGTGCCTTATAGCCCAGGTGTGTTTCTGGATGAAAATATTTGAGAATAGACCCGTTCCTTGACATTGCACCAAATAATCCAGTGTACTTTGTTGTCTGAAATATACGGTAGTTTCCTGTCGATGCGCCCTGTGATCGAGTGGCGACCAGTCCAGGGTGTACATACCAGTTGAGACCCTGAACAGGATTAGCGTCAGTAAATGGATGACTCTATAATGAGCGACAAATTGAACAAATTCACTCAAAGGCAGATTTATGTACAGTATGTGTGACAGAGAGCTCACCAGAGAGGTGATTGGTCTCAGTGCTTGGCTCTGAGTCTTGATAAATCTTCCAGCTGGCTAAAGCAGTGATGAAAACAGACACTGATGTGAACGATAATTAAATTTTAGCCAATGAATTATTGATGCAATCATTGGCTAGTCAGCTGCGGAGCGCGCGCACTGTAAAGCTCCCGATAAGGGTGTGCTGATGCTTAGTCAAACACAAGTGGATGATCGTAAAAGTACAGAAAAATAACATATTGGGTGAGAGTTCAATGTATACATATTTTATTCACTTGACATCTCTCAAATTCCAGTATGCCTGTGGGCATGCTTGCAGTTTATTAGTGTTATCTTTCCTCATCCACTTGATTGGCTCCTGTATTTACATTCGACCCGCGATGCTTAACACACTTTAAGGCTTACAGAGTGCTTAGCGACCTTAGAGAATTGTCAGCAGTGTAATGGTAACCCTCTGGTGGGTTTGCTCGAGAGCCATTAGTGCTGTTACTGACTTTGGGAGACAAGACAGATCGGCTCAAATGATTTACCAGCATCTAACGGCACAATGTTCTCTCGAGCACAGATTTTGGCACCTCAAGCAGAACCTCAAAGAGGGTATTTCTACAGTGACTACATGGCGCAATTCTTTGTAGGGGAAAGTTTACAACAGCTGCCACCATAATCTGCATGCAATGCAAAAATCGTTTTTCTTGGCCATGTGCACCACCTCAAAGTTCCAAACTACAAAATATGTCCATCTCTTTTTTCACCACTGGGAACTTTCTACTTTTTGACATGCCAAGCTGGTGGACATAAACAAGGCCTAGTATGGCTGCCGTGTCTCAATGTGGCTAAGATAGCGTCTCCATCTGCAACAGCCACTGTTGCTGTCCCCCTTACTTGTGTGTTATAGGAATGTGTCTGTGTGGTATGCTTTGGTTATGGCTGGTGCCAAATTTAGTCACAGGCAGCGGACCCAGGTCTGACTGTTGCTCTCAAGCCCTATCAGCAGGCAGCCTGACACTTCAGCAAATGCCTCTGTCCTTAATCACAAATGTGTTGCTCGTAAAAACCTTTAGTTCATTCCCATCAAGCAAAAAAAAAAAAATCCATCTCCCATAAAATTCATTACTCTGATAACATTGTATACATGAGTCATTGTACCGATGTATTCACTTGTAATTGGAGGCTGCATACGAGGCGCATTTTCCATTCAGGACACAGGCATTGCGGACTGCTTATACATTTCAAAATGATACATGTACATGTGCAACATACGGTGATGGCTTGGTTGATGACATCATCGGTTAAGACAATGCTAATTTTCTGCCATGACGCGGGCCAAAACTGGAACTGAATGACAATGAATTGATGTTTGTGCAGTTTCTGGACAGTCCACTTGAAATAATATCCAGTTTTAAAAAATGGATTAATCGATTAATCAACAGATTAATCGAGTATTAAAATAATTGTTGGTTGCACCATCCATCCATTTTTTAAATGCACTTATTTGTGCCGGAGCCAATCCCAGCTGTCTACGGGCAGGAGGCGGGGTACACGCGCGAATATCAAATACTTAAAAACTGGTAATATAAAATCAGCAAACATGAAAACTTCTCTTTGTCATCAGACAGTGACGATACGTAACTTTTGACTGTAGCGACTCCTCAAAACTGCTCAATTGATGCCATTTGTTCTACCACGGATGCCCTCTTGACTAAACGCACACAAACCCGCACCTTTGTTCCATATTATCTGTTCTCTAGACTGAATAATCGCATCAAATGGAAGCAGATGAAACGTGAATGAATGTTGCGGTAGATGAGACGCAGGTTGGTGAAAGAGGCTTTGGGACTTGAAAGGTGCTTCATAGATGGCAAAGTGAATAACAGACGGGCAGATGAAAAGTGAGTCATCTGTCTGTTGTCTGACTACGAATTTGAGCACATCACAGGCAAACAAGCATGACCAAGGCAACACAAAAAAAAAAAAAAAGTGAGCTGAGACAGCTTGAAGACACTTTGACTTACCGCCAAGGCCTGCAGCCTCTCTTTGTGGAGCTGAGCCTCCTCACACGACATCCTGAGAGGGGAGAGTAGGGGGAGAGCAGGGGAGAGGGGAGGTGGGGAGGGTGAAAGGAGAACGAGAGGTGAGACCTCGGGAAAGCTGGGGCTCCTAAATGCGAGAGACTCTGATGGCGGGTCAGGGGGGGTCGAGCAGAGAGAGCGCGGAGGGTGGCCGGTTCAAGTCCTTCCTCCAGAATAATCCAACAGGCAGGAGATAGCTAGCAGAGACCTCTCATTCACTGGCCATGAGCCTCCCACTCTCTGTCGTGATCAACCGCTCTTTCTTTTTGGCCCGCCGTCTCTCCTCCCATTCGCCCCCTGCTTCCCTCCCTCTCTATTTTAGGCAAGAGACCGTGTGTGTGATTAAACAGCTGGGAGGAGCAGCTGAGGGAGAGGGAGGGAGTGACAGCGTATGGGACAGGGTGAGACGTGAGGGAGCGGGACGAACGCTAAGGGTCACAAAGAGTAAACTGATATTGGGGAAAATTGTTTTTAGTTCCCGCCTGAGCTGATACTGGATCAATGTATCAACTGCCCTCATCATTTGCTATGTAAAGTATCACCCACTGGCTTTTTTTCCCCCATCCAAAATCTACTTTCCAGGATGCACAGCATATTTTCTGCTTCTACTTATTTGAGCGGTTTGGACACGCAAAACACAAGCTCATCAATCTGGCATTGCCACAATGGAAAGACTGAACACGAAATCTTGCCGTCGCCCCGTGTTGAGAATAAAAACTGTTGGTAAAGAATTCATTTGCAAATTCTCCATTCGTGAAATCAAATGCGCGCTTGAGAACGACCAACATTTTACACAAAACTGTGTTCAGCTATTGAGTTTGAACTGCTGTCAAGATAGAAATCGTGCATGCAAGCCTTGACTTAAATCAATGACATCTAACGATTTTACATTAAAAAGAAAGACACCAGTCCCGCCTTCATTTTTTTTTTCAAACGGGACAATGTCTATTAGTGTACTTTTCTTTTGTGCCAGGCATTAAAAAAAAAAAAAAAAGACCCAATCAATAATACAGCGACTAAGGATGTGTCATTCAGTGTCACATCGATAGATCAGGGTCATCCGTTAATGATCAGCCAAACAGCTCATTGCCTGCATTTTCTTTGCTCGGAGGAATCCCACGAGTTTTACAAAGAACACGCCACTCTTGTTCTCCAAAACAACGTGTACAACCATTTCCAGATGCAGCAACAACCTCATCGGAGTGACGTCATTAGGATGTGCCCTCCAAATTTTGAGGTGAATTAAAAAAAGCCAATAAATGGAAGTGCCAGACAGGCTTGTATTAGCATAAAAGTGTACGTGAGGTCATTTTACCTCAGAAACAACACCTCCTTCATTCCTCTCCCTACTTTCTCTGCTTCCTTGCAGAGGCGAATGTCCATATAAGGAAAAAAAAAAACTCCAGCAGTCATGCCGGTGGATTCAGTGGGGAATACAGAAGCATGTAACACGCATACACATATACCTGCTCTGTAGATGCAAACACGCTCAAGGCATAAACGGAATTTGGGCGGCGAGAAAAATAATACAAAAGGTAACAGCGGCTGGACGGGAGTTGTCATCTTACTGGGCTGCCGCTTGGGACCAAGAAATGAAAAATGTTCTCAGTGCTTCTTACAGTTTGAAAAGAAATTTGAAGAGATTTGCATTCTATTTGCTTGCCTTTTAACTGGTGTCCGTAAGAGGGAGCATATAACTCCTACTCTGGTGCCGCCCTTTAATGGCTCACTGTACATTTCAGAGTTCATTTTAACTCATTCAATCCCAGCCATTTTCACTGGAGCAACCCCCTCAATCTCAGTGTTTTACTGGATTTTGACTGATCTTGCAAGGTCCACAGAATATTTGGTTCTAATGCGATATAAACATGGAGCCTACCAAAATAAAGTTTAGACTCTCGTTTTTCAGCAGAAAAAAAGAATTTTGTTTTTATCTTTTTCCATTCTTCAGCAATCGTCATTACAAAATGGCTAAGTTTCATGAAAATGGCGGTTCCTGGGCAAAAAAACGGAGAAAAAGAGCTTTTTGTAAAAGCATGCATTTCAAGCACGTGAGGCCCCACTGCCACCTACTGGTCGCTTTTTTACACGATTTACAATGCAAACGGCTTACTCTCATTCACAGATTGCATCAGACCCTCCTCCTCTCTATGACGCAAAAAAAAAAGACTGAGACATACAAGTACGCCCTTGGTAGGCGGGGCCTAATTTTAAAAAGATGTACAAGTACGTCTTGTGGAATGAAAGAGTTAAGATTCTTTTTTTTTTTTCTTTCCGAATCTTGAAATGGCCTTGCCCCAGCTTGCCTCTCTGAGCTCCTCCACCCCTTTTTTTTTCTTTCCAAATCTTGAAATGGTCTTGCCCCAGCTTGCCTCTCTGAGCTCCTCCACCCCAAACCCCTGCCCATATTTAAAACTCATCGTAAAACTCATTTTCATTCTTTGGCTTTTGACTCAGGCTGTGACTTGATTTTACATTTACTGTTTTTGTATTTTTCACTGTCCTCATTATTCATGTTGTTTGAGCGATTGTTGTTGGATGACTTATTTTTGCTTCATGTACAGCACTTTGTATCCAGCGGTGGTTGTTTTAACCCTTTCAGGGTCAGCGTTTACTCCAGTGGGCAGCTTATCATGTTATGAGGTTACAGGGTGCATGAAAGGGTAAAAGTGATCCATAAATACAATTGATCTGAGTGACGTTGAGTTGAGTGTTAATTCTTTGACATTTGAGCCGTACATCTCTTACCATTTATCATCATTTCAAATTTCTCCAACATGTTCACCGTATCTGCTTTCCAAAGTGGCCATATAAAGTTCTTCAGTTCACTTTTGATGAGAAAAATGAAACTGTACCCATACTGAGAGACATGCACATGTAGACTATTTGGTGTCTTGTAGCCAGACAGAGTTGCGCAGCTGTCTGCCTTGAGAGCGCGCAGCAGTCAAAGGCTTGAAGTCTGTCTTTTCTCTACGACCTGGAGTAACACCAATCTCACCATGAGTCTGCTCGGCCTGCACACACTGTCATTCTCCACATGCTTCTTTTATTCATCACAGCCTTTTCAAATTCCATTGTTGTGTTCCGATACAGTCATGCCCTCTTTCTTCGTCACCTCTGAAAATTCTGCCACCCAAGCCCCCCCCCCCACAATCCATTCAGGTCAGTTTCATCGTTGCCCACCTCCAGAGACAACGGCGTCATTGTTCGCCTGCATCGCCACGGCGACACAATGACCTCACTGCGGAGTCAGCCCAGCTCCGCCCACCCTCAATCCCGACTCAGACGTAATGGCCTCCAGATGTGGAACCAGAAGCAGAATAACACACACACACACACACACACACACATATAGAGGAAAATAACAACATCCACTGAGTGGAATGAAGGCAGGGGGACTCAGTAAATATCCACAAATAAAACAAATTGGAACAGCTTGCATGTGCGTGAGTGAATGCTTACCCTCAAGAAGCTATTTCTCTGCTAATGAGACTGCCAGAGCTTGATCACATGCATATTTAATGTATCAGGGAGGTCTAGTTGTTTACATGTGACATAGCCTGCATGTCATCTTCTCTGCTTTCATTGTATACTGAAACCTAATCAGAAAGTTTCAACAAATCTGGAAGCATTCATTTGACTTTTTTTTTTTTTTTTGTCGGCTTGCAATGTATGCAATGCAAAATAGCTACTTTCGATTGTGCCCAACATACACACCCAGGCCTATAAAATGTACTCTTCTTAGTAGAGGATTAGCGTCAAGGTCAGAACATTGATTCCGGTGTAAAATTGTCGGCCTACTCTTCAATAAGGTATGGACAATGTTGACAGCCAAGAAGTCACACTGTCAAACACATACCAAAGTGTGTCTCTGTGTAGGTATGAGAAGTTATTTCTGCACGGGGACGGGGGAGGTGGGAAGTGGGGCTCCATTTATGGCTCAACTTTGGCGACCCAAATGAGGACAAGCAGTAAAAAAGAAAATGCATGACTGGATGGACATCACTTTAGAAGATTTTCATTTGATTCTTTAACCCTTTCGGGGACAGCGGTTACTACAGTGGACAGCTGATCGTGTTAACAGGTTACAAGGTGCATCAAAGATTTCAAGAAACACATGGCAAATCAAATGTGCTCTTTGAGATATGTTCAATGTTGTGATTCGATTCTGTTTGATATCGCCTTTGTGGAATATTGATGAAGCAGCAAAATCCACCGGTTTGTATCCATCCCAGGGTTGCGGCCATTTTACCACTTGCCGTCGATTGAAAATGACAAATGATCACAGCTGCTCAGGGCTCAGGTAACGACCATTCAGCGTCAACACAGCGTCATGTGACTGGAGACATTTCGGGGCCCCTGGAGGTCTTGGGGCCACAAGGGATTGTCTGCTTTGGCCTGTCGCTGACTGGAAGGAAAAATACATGTACTTAAAGGGGACATCAACTCCAAAATGTTCTTCACAGTCATATTCTGACCTCTTTTCTGAAGTTGAGCCATGATTGGTTGTAACCTGAGCCCTGAGCAACTGTGATGTGATTTTCAGTCGAAAGCAAGTGGTAAAATGGCCGCCCCTTGAGCTGGACAAAATCGGGTGGATTTTACAGATAGTACACAAATGCAATCTGAATCAGAATGCAGTGCTTAGACTGGTGGGGCTGCATGGAACTCAAGAAAATTTTAAGGTTGACACCCACTTGAAAACATGTATGAATTGCATGAAGCGGCCTGCGGATGTGCTGACACAAGGAGGTCGGACTGAAACTGCAAGCCTGCACATTGTCAATGCTGAACATGCAACACGACACACACCCTCAATCACACATCACTGACTGTGCCGAACAGAATTATTGTGGTCAAGTTTGAGGATAAGGAACACCCCAAGAAAAGGAGGAGCCGTACATGTACACGTGATGAACGATAGTGACAGATTCGATGGAACACTTTGCTGATTGCACAGTGCGCCGCAGAGGAAGAGCGAGTGTGCACGAGGGTATAAGGCAAGGGAGGAGTGTACACCGTGTTCCGAGTGTCTCCTCCAGTCATGACTGAGCAGCAAGCTCACCATGACGGGGCTCTGGTTCCCATGACAACCCCCTATCAAATTGGAGGGGCGAGAAATGGAGGAGAGAGGAGACAGACGCCTGCCAGGAAAGAGATGGCAAAGTGTCCACTCACCGTACTGTTGCCATGCCGTTCCTCTGCAACGGTGCGTCCGACATCATGGCCGCAACACCCTCGGCTCTTCTTCTCTTCTCCATCCGCCCCTTTCTCCGTCCCCTCTCCGCCGCCGTCCCTTTTGACGGAGGTGTCTTTCTTCTTCCTTTCCTCCTCCTGCCCTCTCCTCCTCCTCTTCCTCCTCCCCGTCCTCCACAGCGTCTCCTCCTCCTCCTTCCTCCTGCCTTTTTAGCGAGTGTTTGTCACGCTATCGGTCAGTGAAGCTGCCGCAGCTCCGGCATCCCTGCATCGCCCTGCTTTCGAAGGGATGGAGTGGAGCATACTCTGTGTGTGTGTGTGTGTGTGTGTGTGTGTATATATTTATACTTTCATGCAACAACAAAAAGTTTTGACATGTTTGGCACCACCTTGACAAGCATGAGAGAGAAAGCATTTCGCAGGGTCACATCTATGCCAAAGGATATGCAGGATGAATACGTTCTCTTCGTTATTGGTACGCGCCCTGCTTTCAAAAGAATATGTACACTAATACTAGTTGTGCCCAGTGATTACCGGCAGATTAACCAACCAGCCATCCAGAAGCCACTTCTCGATCTGTCCAGGATGAGCAAAAAAACAGCACATGGACATCTTTAGGCAACGGGGAACTTTTCAAGCCCCACTAATGTGGCCACTTCAGCCAGACGAAACTAATTTGGAAACACACAAACATCATCTGGCCGAAGATTTACAGCCTGCACCACACTTGGAGCTGCTGTCTTAGTAGCAAAAATGTTTGATGCTCACAATATACAGTAAGTGCGTCCCACAAAGAGGAATGCTTCACATTGGATGTATTTGTTGATGTATTTAATTACATAGCAGTTGATTCTGCTTTAAACCACATGAAATCACATTGAGACGAAATCCGGTCACACTATCAAAACATATTTTGACCATAATTTGAGTGCATGTTGGCAAGGGATACCAGACGCTTTACCATGAGGGATTTTTTTTTCCCCTCAGCAAATGAAAGCTACACTCATCTTCAGAAATAAATAGGAAAAATAAATTTTTAATGAAATAGTGATTGTCACGTTCACAAAACTCTTGGCTGCGGCCTTTCTGTGCGAAATTTGTTAGCATATCCCGAGCTCGAGCACGTGGAGTTCCATTTGCCGCATTCGGTATTCTAAGTAGCCAACAATGAAATTCTCATATTATTTTGAAAAAGTGAACACCATTTCCGCAGTGAGAAGTTCGAATGAAAGCCACGTGAGATGTTTTCGTGTGCACAAAATGTTTCACATTCTTGAGTGACGCGCACTCGATATCAAGTCCTCAGGAGGCACTTTCTTCTTCTCGTCTTATCTGCCTCTTCTCTGTGCCCTCCATGGCTCTCATCCATGTGGCCGCTCCTCAAGTTGAGGTCGTGACCTTGCATGGCGAGCACACATGCAGACAGTCAGTGTGCTCGCACACACGCACACTGCATTATATTCACAGAACATGTGATAAATTATTGTGAAGTGACTCAACTGTAGTAAGGTAACACGTCATGTCTTTAAAAATGAATTATTTTGCGGATTGAAATTTGAAAAAGTCATAGCGGTGAAAGACAGCAAAAAAACTGACGGTAGTGGGAGTGAATACAGCAGCCCCAGCATTGCTGGTTAAGGAAAACAGTGCCCTCTTGTGGATCATTGTGCACAAACAAAGTGACAAACCTTTTTGAAAGTGAGAGGTGCTTCTTACCTTGTGAGTAATTACAAGAGCTAACAGATTCACAATCCTGTAACAACACATTTGCTCTGTGAAGCAGCGTGTTTATGACCCCCTGTTCCATCGTCTTCAAGTAATCCCGACTGCAGTCAATCTGCACTAATGACATACGCGGA